AAATATAGTCCCCAAGGGATTTCGCACGTGGTAAGAATGTGGACTCCCGAATGAGTATGATTTCAACCATCTCCGAAAATAAAGCTGGTCAAAAAATAACTATTTAGTTATGTTAACGTTTTTTTCAGTTATTGTTGACGTTTTTGTAAATCCTACTGTACATGAGTTATATCACAGATTGTATGTCATAGAAGGCCAGCACAGACATATCCTTACTGTAGAATAATACAGCTCAAAATCTTCGCCTGCAAAAAGGTACCTCTAGGTTAAAAAAACAAAACAAATTTCTAATGGGACGCGCCAAGTTGACTCCTGCGTGGACACCTCAAAAAATTTGTTTCGAAGACCTTCTTAGAAGAAAGAACAGACCATTCTAAGCGAAGAAAATTGTGGTAACTTGCCAGCTTACAACATTTCTATATGCGAAAGAAGAGAGCTCATCGGAAAAGCAAGATTCACCGGTAGATTTTCAAGCTGGTAACACCAACTCGTCGTCAGACAAGATGAAAAGTGAACGGTGCGGTTGTCACACTGGTGTTTGAGGACGCAGGCGTAGGGCTAGGCAGACGACTATACGAGGAAGGTGTGCGAATCATGTTGTCGTGACGGCTGGAGGTGAGGCCACGTGTTTGGAGTCTCAGGTGTGACTCACTGTGTCACTGGGGGGACATGCAAAGGCGTATAGGTGAAATGCTGCATGTCCGGCATGGTCTGACGGTTTGAAACACAGCTTCTTCTAGTCGTTGTAGGACTAGTTCGGAGAGTAGCACTCAAATCGGTGAACCCATTGGTGTGCCCTTGGCCTGTTAGTAATACTTGTCATTGAATTGGCAATAGTTATTAATACAGTGTATATGCATGTCTAAAAAGAGTTGAGTCAGAATGTCCATGGGAGATTTCTCCGAGAGTCAAGTTACGTTCTCAATTATTAGGTTATGGGGTGTTGAAGTGCGATTATACTTGATGTCCACCATTGTCTTCGTCGATTTAAGGCAGTACTCACTGAGCTCAAGGGTAAGGGCGTTTCAACCCTGCCTGAAGACATTTTCGAAGAGGTGCTGCAGCACATATATGCCACTACCAAGTATGCTCGTGCGAAGAAGCGAGTTGATCTTCAAAAGAAGCTCCAAGCTGTTCTCCATCCTATAAACTATAGTAACATGTCTAGGAGAATTGTCAAGCCGTCCAAAAGAAGTCTAACTCCTGCTGAACCCAGTCTCTCACCTAAAGGAATACGGCTAGGTCATACCGATGCTGCGCATATCAGCTTCCTAAACAGCCTCGAAGCCTTGCCCTAAATGCAAGGCATTTCTGAAACGATCGTCAGGCAACTAAACCAGTTTGGCATCTGCATCGCCCACAACCCGGCGTCCTACCTACGCACAGCATTATCCCGGATAAAGGATCCCATGCCCAAGTAAGATCAAAAAATATCATTTACCACATCCCATGCGGCAACTGCCGCTTTGTTTATAATGGTCACACGGGTCGACGATTTGAGACTCGCATTAACTAACACAAACTGACCATCAGCCACCAGGATCCTTTATCTCTTATGTTTGCGCATTCTCTCTACTGTGACCATCTTCTCGTTTGGGACGACGTTGAAGTGGTCGCGATAGCTTATCCTAAACAGACACGGGAATTCCTCGAAGCTTGCTGCTCCAATATGAGCAGCAGCAAACACCATGTTGATCCAGATGCCTACTACGAGGGCCCCCGATCAAGGTCCACCGACCGGCGCCCACCTCAACAATAACAGCTCCTGATGCATGCTCGGAGATGCAGAATTTCACCTATTCGCGTTTGCCTCTCCCCCAGTAACTCACATCTGAGACTCCAAACAGTTCGTCTCACTTCCAACCGTCAGCACAACACAATGCACACTCCCCTCGTATAGTCGTCTGCGTCCTCAAACACCAGTGCGGCAATCTCGCCTCTTACTTTTCATTTCGTCTGACGACGGCTTGGTGTTACCAGTTTGAAAATTGAAGAGTAAATCTCCCTTCTCCGACAAGCCGTCTCCTTTGGTTATATTACCTCGGAGTGTACCCCACTTCAGTTACTCAACTTTTACATTTATTTGTATTGGCCGCGCGAATCGGCGCCTACAGAGGGAACTACTTAAACTCCTTCCAATATGGCTGAGAATTTACAAAATTAGTAGCGGAGTAATCTCACGTTCGCATACGTCGTTGCTTTCGAACATCATGGACGCCAAGTAGGCATTCCGACCGAACGATTTAACGATCTCACCGAACTACTTAAAACGACCGGGGCAACGTGTCCTGACAAGATTCGAAACAGCTACAATCAGGTTACGTAAGCTGACTTTGGGAACACTTATGAGAAAAGACGTGTCAAGCATATGCTAATGAGTCCCCGGTATCTGGGAAGAATTTATCGCAGCAAAATTAACCCGGCCAACTAGTTTTCAAAACCCTTCTAGAGGAATTTTTGCAACTAAGATAATCCTTTCTAACCACAAACCCTGTTATGGGACTTTGACCAACGTTTCGTGATTTCGGTAACCTACTGTACGCAGAATCGGTATCCACGACCGAATTAAATGCAATCGATGCACAGGCCTGCGGTCGAGGTAAAAAAGAATGGCTCGTGGTGCGTTCAGAGATATAGTGTGACAGAAAGGCTTTGGGGAAGGGGATGAACGCACAGGCGCTATGAGAGGAAAGCGACTAAAACGCAATATTGTGGGGTCATAACTGATGCGCCAGTTCGAAAGAGTAAACGGTTGGGAAGGAAGAGGTAAAAAAGAGGAAGTTCATGAGAGCGTGCTACACAAGGATGGAAGGATTGGACAGTGAGGCAGACTGTTGATAAAATCTTGCCCATATATAAGGAAGGTAGAAGAAGGGTAAAAGTCATCTCAACACCGTGCTATCGATGCTAAAACGTGCATAATATAAGTTTATAAACTAATCCTGTACTGCGGAAAAGGAGGGATACATCTGAACATCGTCCCTTTGTTTTCTTCGTTCTTTCTATCCACGTTCTCGTATTGCCGCCTAATTATGTTCCGGATGATTACGAAGGCAAGAGATAAGAACATCGGCCGGAGCTTGACGCTGACAGATCATGTGAATGGTAGTGAAGATGGGAAATTGGTGGTCTAGTTTTTTGGACGAGAGCATCGAGTGCACTTCGGCTGCTGTAAGCACACCCTGAGCACTTTGACCGCCGAGTAGTTCACCTTCTAGCACGCTGACCGGCTTTTCTGTCTCTGCCAGGGCTATGCCAATCTTGCGATTTCGTCCTCCATAGCAAGTTGTAATCAGGTCAGCAACGCCGCAACTCTCAAGAAATGTTGATTCAAGGGGATCTAAAGGTAGAGGAAGAATAATATTCATTAGGACCCGCGCGTGGTACTTGTAATTAACATGAACTTTGTGTTTGCACGAAAGTCAGCACAAGAGAGGAAGAGAAAGCAATCGACAACGAGGAGAGCCGTATTCACCAATAGCAAGTTATTCTCGCAAAAAGGCTGCTTATATTTATTGCAATTGCTTGATGAGAAGGAGCCGAGAATGACTTCTCACAGAAATGGACCAATCAGATCTGGCGAGAGCTCTGTAGCCACAGTCAAGACGGGGCGCTGTCATGACAGGCAGCGTGGTGGTTCACGCACGTGCCCTTCTGTGAGGGTGACTCATCGTGGGAATGGAGGCATTTAGTATTACCGGCAAATTAAAGGGAGACTGGAATGGCCATTTCTGGCTTATTAGCCATCGTCAACTAGTCATATCCAGCCCCAAGTGGTGTCCCACCCGAACCTCGAGCTCGCGACCTTTTTGATTAGAGTCAAACGCCCTAACCATTGAGCCACGAGCTCGTTGTCTTGCCGATGTAGGTCGGGAGATATTGACATTCATTGATGAACGTTCACCCGACAGCTAATGGGACTCATCTGTCCCGCTCTGCCTTGGGTCTCACCAGAGGCCCTGACAGTCGCAGCAGCTGGTAGTGTAGGGAACCACAGCAGACGCGTCTTCGAACCGCGTTCCCACCCGCCCTCC